ATCTTCAGTGCACAACCTTGAGCAAGGTTAGGCTCCGCTGACAGATATAACTGATTGTCATCAGCATAAAGATGAAATTTCAGTGAGTGCTTTCGGACAATGTCACCAATGGGAAGAATGTACAGACTAAGCAGTAAATTCTTCTTATAAGTGTTTGCAATAAGATGAATAACAGCACAGTAAAGGATGAACTGAGTAAATCAATTTGCAACCACGCTCCACAGCCGATGTCGTGTAATGTTGAGACAACATTCCCAGTTCCTCGCTGTGAAACTGCAGAAGAATTGATGTGTCAAACGTCTTGCTATTTGACATGTATGCAGTAGACCTTTATTCTTTTAAAGTGAGTACTTCATGATACGCCGGTCGATCTGAAAGTCATTTTGATTATCGGTGTGAAACAGAACCGCACACTAGCTTTGAATGTTCTTATCTTATTCCATCCATACAGCAAAAATATGAAGCAGTATCATACAATTAGATGTAGTAACAATGCCAATACAGTGGAAATTGTCTATAACGGACTGGCTGGACTCATTTGTACGGAATATAGAGCTGTCCGGATTAGACAACTTTTGTCCGTTACCGTAGACACTGGTATGATGAGTTACCGTATATTACCGTAGATAAGCCGAATTTTGATGACAAACAAATATTTTTCAGATATCAAGCTTATTTAATGCAAAGACAACAGTATCGTTGATGCATTATCACTTATTGTTCGATTGTGATTAATTTTGACAGTAGACATGATTTGTTTTTGTGTAGATATTTATCATGTTTATCGTGTATTATATGTACTGTTTTTAACTGTTCGAAGTAGTTGTTTCATCTATGATGGAGAGAGGTATGTGGCTGTGTTTTTGTGGGACATTGTTGTAAGTGTGTTACATTGTTTCAATTACGATTACGTTGAGGGTAAAGGTGTGTTGGTAACTATTTTAGACTGGGAGAACACGGTTGCAGCGAGGTGAATATTACCATGACTGCCTACAGTGCTATAAGGACGACAGCGAAGCCTAGTAGTTAATGCGTTCGCTCGTCACGCTGATGACGCGGGTTCGATTCCCCACATGGTTACAATGTGTGAAGACCATTTCTGGTGTCCCCCGATATTGCTGGAATATTGCTTAAAACGGCGTAAAACTACACGCATTCATTCATTCACTTTAGTGCTATAATCACTGCTTCTATATTTGTACTGTCGCTCAACCTTTTTTGTACTGCCATTCAAGTTCCTTTATAGCGATTTGTCTATTTAATTATGGAATAAAATTGTTAATTTACAGCATGTGTTTGTAGTTTACACTTTCACGCCAGATTCTATTAAATAAAAATGTGGAGTTACCTATTTGTTTCAGCTTGGGAATCGACAGATTACTAATGATCTTCCCAAACATTTGTTTAAGGTCTTTCCCTAAAACTAATAGTGTATGTTCTGTTCTGTTGTTTTCTGTACATCTATTGTCATAATCATGTTTGGTTCTTTGTTCAGGCTTAGCATTTAAATTAGGAAGGTAACGGACAGGGGTCACTGTCAAGTGAACTTCGTTGTAAGATATATGGGCAACAGGAAGTGGCGGTTTTGTGAAGATACCGATATTATACCGTGCCTTACACAGATTTAAGGGACGGGTGGAAATATATAAATATCTTGAGACAAGTATTTCATTCATTCCGGATAAGGCGTCTGAGGTGGAGTGAGTGAGTTGAGTTTTACGCCGCGCTCAGCAATATTCCAGCTATATGGCGGCGGTCTGTAAATAATCCAGACTGGACCAGACAATCCAGTGATCAACAGCATGAGCATCGCTCTGCGCAATTGGGAACCGATGACATGTGTCAACCAAGTCAGCGAGCCTGACCACCCGATCCCGTTAGTCGCCTCTTACGACAAGCATGGGTTACCGAAGGCCAATAGCCTAACCCGGACCATCAAGGGTTTGTTTGAGTTGGAAAGAAAAAAGCGTCCATCATAATATTGCGAACGCTATATATTCTTCAACAATCAACACCTTCGCCGATGTCGACAGCACAAACAGAAACATGCATATTCAACTCGAGATGACGTTAGACTGCAAGACATGTTAAAGAAGCAAACTCAAATAATTTACGGCAAGCCGTCTGTGTGCTAAATGCATGTCATAAGTCATTTTGTTATAAGTTATTTCACGTCATAAATAATAATACATGTCCATATTTGCAGCTGAAAATACAGATGATTACAGACATGGCGCATCACCTCGCTGTTATGCTCCATTTACGGTCTGTCTTCTTCTACCTCTAAGCGTTGGACTCCAGAATACACCACGTGCTCGTGAAGCGCGTGTTGGTGGACCACGAACTAATACATGACTCCTTATTTGTTTTATTGCATGCAAATTATCCGTAGCTTCGAGGGATTTATGGTGCCAAGGCATTTTGTAAATTGGTAACGTTTTATCAATCGTTATGAGTTTGACCTACCAAACCGTCATGGCCATCATACATTTCTGATATGTAGAGACCATAACCACTTAAAAAAATATATAAGTGTTTTGTCCCTCTGAGTGGTACCGAAACACTGTCTGTCTCATGACCTACAAGGAAAGCCCGAGGGGTCCAGTATAATTAATATAAAGCACATATCGGACATTATACCACTTATTACCTACGAGGGCGAACATATCGGTGATCATATTTTGCATACGATGCCCTAGGGCAAAATATCAGTTTGTCGTGGAGACGTGACGTCATGAACAAGGCTATAACGTCACGTTTCTTCTGTGACGTTGCGTTCTACATGCGGCGACGGCGGGTAGCCAGTCTATGTTTAAAAGTAGATTTGGTTTATTTTCCTCAATTTGACGACTTAGCTAATAAACAGAATATTATTTTCGTGCCAATATCATCTCGCTCGGGAAATACCAACATCTAGGCACTCGTGTCGTAAACATAGTATGACATGGGCACTCAATATAATTTCCTCTATTTATGCGTCTAATCAGTCTCAAACTTCACGTGATCACAGAATGATACAATTATTGGCATTTATCATATTGTGCTTCATTAAAACAATTACTGGCATGTATCACATTGTGCTACATTAAAACAATTACTGGCATGTATCATATTGTGCTACATTAAAACAATTATTGGCATGTATCATATTGTGTTTCATTAAAACAATTACTGGCATGTATCATATTGTGCTATATTAAAACACTTACTGGCAGGTATCATATTGTGCTACATTAAAACAATTACTGGCAGGTATCATATTGTGCTACATTAAAACAATTATTGGCATGTATCATATTGTGATACATTGAAACAATTACTGGCATGTATCATATTGTGATACATTAAAACAATTACTGGCATGTATCATATTGTGATAAATTAAAACAATTATTGGCATGTATCATATTGTGTTTCATTAAAATAATTACTGGCATGTATCATATTGTGATACATTAAAACAATAACTGGCATGTATTATATAGTGCTACATTAAAACAAGTACTGGCATGTATCATATTGTGATACATTAAAACAATTATTGGCATGTATCATATTGTGTTTCATTAAAACAATTACTGGCATGTATCATATTGTGCTATATTAAAACAATTACTGGCAGGTATCATATTGTGCTACATTAAAACAATTACTGGCAGGTATCATATTGTGCTACATTAAAACAATTATTGGCATGTATCATATTGTGATACATTGAAACAATTACTGGCATGTATCATATTGTGATACATTAAAACAATTACTGGCATGTATCATATTGTGATACATTAAAACAATTATTGGCATGTATCATATTGTGTTTCATTTAAACAATTACTGGCATGTATCATATTGTGATACATTAAAACAATAACTGGCATGTATTATATAGTGCTACATTAAAACAATTACTGGCATGTATCATATTGTGATACATTAAAACAATTATTGGCATGTATCATATTGTGTTACATTAAAACAATAACTGGCATGTATTATATTGTGCTACATTAAAACAATTACTGGCATGTATCATATTGTGATACATTGAAACAATTACTGGCATGTATCATATTGTGTTTCATTAAAACAATTACTGGCATGTATCTAATGTGGTACATTAAAACAATTACTGGCATGTATCATATTGTGATACATTGAATTAATTACTGGCATGTATCATATTGTGCTTCATTAAAACAATTACCGGCATGTATCATATTGTGCTACATTAAACAATTACTGGCATGTATCATATTGTGATACATTAAAAGAATTACTGGCATGTATCATATTGTGCTACATTAAAACAATTACCGGCAAGTATCATATTGTGCTACATTAAAACAATTACTGGCATGTATTATATTGTGCTACATTAAAACAATTACCGGCATGTTTCATATTGTGCTACATTAAAACAATTACTGGCATGTATTATATTGTGCTACATTAAAACAATTACTGGCATGTATCATATTGTGTTACATTAAAGTAAATGGATGTCGAACACATTCTCTTGTTCATGATTTATTGAAATGCACCCAATACAGGACATGTCCAAAGCTATAGAGGAAATCTTTACAACTGTAATGAAACAAAATACATCAATTTGATATCCCAATAAAACTCCAGAATAACCTCGCCACATGTGATCAGTTAATGTACGTTTGTGTTTCTCTTTAGCTAAAAAGATTTACAAGATCGCTGCAAATTGCCATTGCTATTTCCCACGAAGGCCTCATGCTGAGAGGGACTTTATGCCAAACACATTTGTATGTGATTTTCATTTTCCTTCTTTCGGTGCAGGTTAATTATGTGTGGATGTCAAGGAGAAAGGGGAAATCGCAAAGAAGCAGAGAGGGGATATCCTTGAGGTTTAATGGCAACAGTTTGAATATTTAAAAGTAAACACTCCACGCAAGTGAAACGTTATGATAATACAATGAATAATGATGCTTTGCTGCTTTGGACATGCAATCCTCGTCTTTAAAACCAACAATAGCAACATCATGTTTAATTTTGAAAACAAAATTAACATGAAATTATGAAAACAAGAATATATTTATCTGAACAATGAAATGAAATTATTCAAAGCAGCGACATGTAATCAGTAAGAATTGTCTATGCGTGCTGTAAATATGTCCCTGCATGAGTTGGGTTAAACACTATACGCCACTTTGAACAAGCCTTGAAATAAGCCAAATAAATTGCGGGCCTTAGACGTTCTTAAAGCAAAAACAAACAAACCATTATTAAAACGAACCGGATTCGAACTCGTGATCATACGTTCCTGGCTCAACTGAAAGACGCAACTCTGTACAGCGAATTGCGCCTTGATGGATTGGGTAATGTTAAATATCGTCTAGTTAGGAAATCAATTTTGACTCATTTTGAACATTCTACAAACAAATCCATGGTTCCGTCCACAGTTTTCGTCATCAAGGACACGCGTGTCAGGCAGGAAAACACCACAGTACTTCCTGCCTCGCCCGCTCAGGAAGCCACCTCCGAATTCATCAAAGGGCACTTCGCTTTTACTTCCTTCCCAAAACCACGTCCCCTTACGTCCAATGTTGGCGCCGGTCCAGATCTTATTTGTTTCTGCAATATAGAAATACACGATGCCCTTATTTCATTCATTTCATTGTAAGTGTCCTGGGGTTAACACATTTACCACTTTTTGTGAAACGCATGACCTGTTTACCAAACATATTTAATGATTGAATGAAAAATAAATAACGTTTGGGATACACGAAACATGCAGTGACACCTCTTCAACCATTTACCATCACACGGACGTATACGAAGAGAAATCAAATCAGCTAGACATCAGACTTACACCAGCAGGTAAGTGGGATGTGCTGGGGCGGTGGTAATTATTTCACACACATTAACCATACATTCAGTGGTTTTTATATTTTTGTCATTTCTAAAAATGTCCATGGATCATTTGAAACAATCTGTATTTTGTCTAAACATTGAGTACAGATGTCAAACAAACTGAGAAATTACCGTTTCCAAATATGCTTGACACAAACTCAGCCTCTTCTTGGGAATAGATTTCAACCAGGAAAGCTCCCGTCTGTTTACACATAAACTGAATAAAAGGAGAAACATTTGTGAGAAATATTATATCAGATAGACATCTATGAATGTGATCGGTGTTAGTTAAGATCTCTGTGGAGCGAAGCATGGAGAGATTGACTCGGTATACATCACCAGTATATCACCAGAACATCACCAGTATATCATGTGAATCTGGCACACGAGCTGCATCGCGTTTTTTTAAACGTCGGAATCCTATGCCACAAAAAGGATGAGTTTAAAATGTTCCTTACCAGTGCTTGAATAATTCCAAAAGACAACAGGGTCATAAAAAACACGATTTTTTAAAACCAGTTTTATATCGTCAAATATTGGTTTGCAACATTTTATGACGAAATCGCGTCTTGAAAGAGTGAATGCAGCTTTTTACGCTGCATATTATAGTGGCTTCCACCATAGTTGCCGACGTTCGGGGTAATCTAGTGGTTAAAGCGTTCGCTCATCACAGCGAAGTCTCATATTCGATTTATGGGTATAATGCATGATCACCATATTGGAATATTGCTAAAAGCGGAAGCCAAATCTTACCTTCGCTATTTTCCACGATGAAGGCTCAGGCACATGAAGATAACACGAAGTTTGAAACCTCTTCCAGTGTTGGGGGCAATCATTTTGGACACCTACAAAAACAGCACTGTATTAACACAGAAATCATAGCTTTCAATACCATGCGTATTTGTCAACAAAACAACACCTTCAATTGTAAATATAGGATGTACTTATGATTATGTGAATTATATGAGATAACAAGGCAATGTTAATGTAAGGAAATGACCAGTTTTAGTGAGTGAGTGAGTTTGATTTTACGCCGCTTTTAGCAATATTCCAGCAATATCACGGCGGGGGACACCAGATTTGGGCTTCGCACATTTTGCCCATGTGGGGAATCGAACCCGGGTCTTCGGCGTGACGAGCGAACGCTTTAACCACTAGGCTACCCCACCGCCCCTATAACCAGTTTTAAAACTAACCGAAACAAATCATCTTAGTACCATTTTTGTGAGAATCAATATGTCACACTTCATCATGCACATCAAACGCACAGCACTAGTTGTAGTATTTGTGTGTAGTTGATATTACCTATGGAATCGAGTTTCTTTTTGATTATTGACATTTCTTCGACAACGCTTAACATGGATGAATGGAGAGGACGCACAGCATACTTGACAACACCTGTCAGATCTTCGGACATGTTGGTGATCTTAATTGACAGTTCCTCCTTGTTGATGTCAACCTGTTCCAAGACTGACATCACGCTGGCCTGAACATTCCATAATGTGGATGTCCTCCTCTTGAAATCTTCGTAATCCCGTTTTATTTCTCCAATTGCTTTTACAAGTGCGTCATTTGTCTCTGTGGTAAGATAAAATTTGGTTATTGATTTAGAGCAAGAAGTACGTGATATAAATCAAAACAAAGTACACTCCCTTATAATTATTTTCACGTAAAAAACCCACAAAGTTTTCGTAATTATGACGTCATGACACCACATTGTGACGACTCAGATATATACTGGTACGTGTTCACTTTGGGGCATTGTAAAGAGAACAGTGTGCGGGATGTTATATTTCATACCTATGTCACGAAAATTGGGTCCGAATTCCCAAATATATATTACTCTCTCAGGCAACGTAATACATGCGCTTGAGTATATTGAGTAAAACGTCGAAATCAGCTGCATCCCGATTTATGTATTAGATATGACTCGACCTTCGAATCATCGCCACGTTAAACATCCGGAGTATCACAGTGATCCTGCAGTCAGAGAAATCACAAGATAGTATTTACACAGTTGTTGTTAGTCTCCCCTCTAACTGGTTGGTGTGTCTAACTGGTACCCACCCTCCCACTCCCATCCCCACACACACCACACACCATTCAGGCTCCCAAACGTTCAACTGGACTGACTGAGTATGGTATTACGCCGTTTTTAGCAATAATCCAGCAATATCGCGGCGGGGGACACAAGAAATAGGCTTCACAAATTGTACCCATGTGGGGAATCGAACCCGGGCCTTCGGCGTGGCGAGCGAACGCTTTAACCACTAGGCTACCCCACCCCCGTTCAACTGGAACTTGCAGAAGAAGACATAAACCATTCAGAGGACCGTGAGGTTTGTGTAAGATGTCCCCAAAATACAACAAAACAAACAAAAACAACAAAAAACCAAAAACCCACAATGTTATAAATGTATGTCAAACACATTAAGCGCTTAGCTACGTCGTAATTTGTTACTGGGAACTTATTCTGGTGTGCTTGTCACGACACAGAGTATAAGCTTGCATGTCTGTGTATGAACAGTATATAAGGTTTCGTTGACATGACATTCAAGCTGGTGAAGCATATTGTGTTACCATTTCTGACATGCAACACTATCCGTCTACGTGTTCTCTCTCTGAAATGGGGGCAGTGGGGTAGCCAAGTGGTTAAAGCCTTCACTCGTCACGCCGAAGACCCGAGTTCAATTCTCCACACCGGCTACAATGTGTGAAACCCATTTCTGGTGTCCCCTGCCGTTATATTGTTGGAATATTGATAAAAGCGGCGTAAAACCCAACTCAATCACTTACTCTCTCTCTGAAATGCGTTAAGACAGGTGTTGATGTGATGATGTATTATTTCCTGCGAATGTAGAATGAATAGTTTGTCTTTAGGACGTGTCCAATATGAAGCACGTGTTCATGATTTAGTTTGTCCTACTTATTATTCCACACGGTCTACAGTTATGACCCTTATCGAGTAATGTATGACACGATAGCTATGTGGATCGTCACTCTCAAGGTCCGATTTCAATTTCCCAACGTGTGATCGAAGTGTATAAAGCCTGTGGCTGGCGTTCCCTGATATGATGCTGCTGAAATATTACGGGATGCGCCGTAAAGCCAAAGTTTTAACTCACTTACTCACAAATTAATTTTAGTTACGCCATCACATATGTAAATCATCAACATCACATATGTGACTCATCAACATCACATATGTGAATCACCAACATCATATATGTGAATCTTGAACGTCAGATGTGACTTATCAACATCGCATTTGTGAATCATCAACATTGCATGAGAGGATCATCAGCATCACATATGCGTATTATCAGCATCACATATGTGAATTATCAACATCACATATGTGAATTAGCAACATTACACTTTGGAATCATCTACATTGAATATGTGAATTAGCAACATCACATCTAAATTTACTGTGACCCTGCAAAGTACTTCGTCATTTATTGTCACAGATGATTGTTATAGAAACATGTTAATCAATCGTCTATCTTTTCTAGTTTGTATTCATCCTTAACTGCTATGAAGAATGAATTTACTGGCTTTCTCAGATATTTATACGATCGAAAGTTTCGTGAATACTGTAGCTGCGCATGCGTGATTGTTAAGTTAACACTAACCACTTACTCACTTAATTAGTTTATATTTGTGAAACGATAAACACGAATCATGTCATGCATTTTACAATTTTTATCTGCTGGTAATGTTTGAATGTAAAAGAGCATTCCTGTATGTTTTTTATTCAAGTTCACATTTTAGCGGCATCGACTTGTTGTTTATACAGTTAGATGACTGATCATTGAGAAAACGACATAATTTTACTTTTTCTATTTTTCAGCTCTCAGTAAATGCAAATTATCATGGTATACTTTCTATGTTTATTTCTTACTCATCCATATTTGCTTGACTTGAGCTAAGACTAGTCTTGTTATTGCAGAAACGGCATTTACTGTTATACATTATACTCCAGTAATAATTATCATGTACGTAACGTTTTCGAGTTTCTGTAACTGCCTCTGCTTATCAGATGAGTAAATGGATATCATATTATGCGCCCTTTAGGCCCAATTCACACTAGAGCACGATGGTACTACGATGGCAACACGAATGGATCGTACTGGAATCGTGCTCAGAGTGTTACAATGTACACGATCAACACGATTCCTGCGCAATTAGTGTACGAAGCTTGTACAATCCTTGTACGAAATTAACACTATACAAACACAACATGAACACGATCAGAACACAAACAAGATACGATGCTTTCACGATGTCAACACGAAAGGTGTACGAATTATGCACGATGTTACACAAAATTGTGACCAATCAGGACTCTTCCCTCCAAAACGACTCCACTTCACGTCCGTGCTATGGGTGTATAATGCAATGGAAATGAAGGAAAGGACATCAGTGTTCATCAAGTTTCTAAGATGACAACTAGGAAAAGAAGATTGCAGCCTGAGCTGGAACTAACTGATTGTGGATTTGGAGATGATGGAGGTGGAGGTGAAGATGAGGTAGAGGAGGAGGATGTTGGAGGAAGGGCCACAAGAATAGACGAAAAATAGGAGTAAGGGCAGTGTGGACACGAGACTGGTTGTTACAGAGACCTCTGTATGGGCAGTATGAGATTCTGCTAGCGGATCTGAACAATAAAGACCGGGTCAGCTGTAAGAACTTCCTGAGGTTGGACAAGCTCTCAACCAAGCGTTGGTCATTCGAGTCTGCCCTTATATCAAAAAGAAAGATACTCCTTTCAGGAAAACACTCGACCCAGGCTTGAAGAATGCTGCTACTCTTCGCCACCTCGCTACGGGGGAACAGCTACTTGGACCTGCAATACTTCTTCAGAGTCGCCAAGAACACCATTCGTGCCACAAGTCTCAGAGGCCATCATAAACGTATACTCATCCGAAGTCATGGCTCCATGCATTACTCCTGAACAGAGGAAAGTAATTGCTGACGGCTTCCTAGAAAATGGAACATGCCCCACGCCTGCGGAGCTGTGGATGGGAAACACGTGCGCATCAGGTGCCCGAGGAAGTCTGGGTCGCTGTTCTACAACTACAAGGGCTATTTCTCGGATGGCCAGCTCTTCTGACCTCAGAAACCTGCTGGAGGACGGTGGAAGTCCCTGCATCTGAAAACCTCCCGGTAGCGAGGAAGAAGTACCGTACCTAATCATCGTTTGCGATGCCTACCCCTGCGAACTAGGCTGATGAAACCATACTCAAGACGTCAGATTAGCAGACAAGAACGTGTCTTCAACTATTGACTGTCACGGACACGAAGAATCGTCAAGAACGCTTTCGGCATTCTGTCCTGTAAATTATGTTGTCTTCTCAGAATGCTGTGCCAAGTCAATACGTCAGCCATTGACTCCAACATTCTGTACTGTGTGATGCTCCATAACCTCAGCAGCCTCCGCTACCCTGGACAACCTCAAGGAGCAGATCATCAAGACAGGCAGTACAATGTCGTCCCCGGTGACTCGAGACAGTGCAGGCAGCTAGATAACATCCGTCTCGGCATCGATTCTGACGTCAACACCGAGCGCAGAGGTAGTTTGGCAGAGGATCAGGGTGTCCCTCAAGGCAGTATTTTGTCTGTCACTTTATTTAGTATCAAGATCAACAGTTTTCCAAGGTTTTAAACGATTCACTTGATGGATAACTTTTTGTGGATAATTTTAATATTTCTTGTGGTAAAAAATGCATACTATTGAACGGCAACTGCAGTTGTGGTTAAATAAAATAAAGAAATGGTGTCTTGAAAACAAAACTAATTGTCTACACTTCTGTAGAAAATATAAGCCGCATAAAGACCCAGAACTATCTTTAAATGGCACTCCGATCAAAGTTGTCAAGGAGGCCAAGTTCTTGGTCCTCATTTTCGACTCCGATTTAACTTTTTTGCCGCATATTAAATCCCTTAAAGCTAAATGCCTGAAGGCCCTTGATTTGTTGAAAGTTGTTTCCAACTCAAAGTGGGGAGGGCATGAAGCTACCCTCCTCCACCTATATCGATCATTGATCCGCCCGAAATTTGATGATTATGGCTCCATCGTATATGGTGAAGCCTGCAAAAGCAACCTAAAACTACTTGATGCTGTCCACCACCAAGACCTAAGACTTTGTCTTGGGTCCTTTAGAACCTCTCCTATTGATAGTCTCTATCTTGAGGCTCCCTAACCAACGTCGTATCAAATTATCATTACAGTATATAACAAAACTCTATTCTAACGAATTTAATCCTACATTTAACTGTGTTTTCAATCCTCTTTATGGGGATTATACAACAAAAAATCTTCTCTTGCTCCGCCTCTTGGGGCTAAGAATTAAACCATTAATTTCTGATGCCGGCATTGAGCTGGAAAATATATCTCCTTCCCGTTTGCTTTCTTCTCCTCCTTGGCAATTGGTGAGGCCTGAAGTTGACCTAACTCTGACAAAGTTTAAGAAATCTAAAATTAATGAATTACAATATAAACAAGAATATAATCAAATAATCAATTAAAGAATAATATAATACATACAAAAAATATATTAATAAACACCGTAAAT